TTATTAATCAGTCTATTACATGTCTGTAGGCCCCTATAACTGATGATATATATAATAATTAGAACGGATCATTAACGAATCCATTACCAGTAATATGATGGAAGGGAAATGTGGTTTATTTCAGCCGAACGACACATTGCCGGTAAACCAATCGGCAGTTCTTCATTTTATTTGTGCGCTTCACAACAGGCTGTTGATCTGATGTTGGACGATCAACATCGATCGATTTTTTGCCAAAATAAATTTCTTCTTCGCCAAAACTTATATTAAAATTATGTTCATAATTTCATATTTATAGATGCATGAGTCGGGGTCAAATTACAGTCGCATCTGTAACGTCGGTAGTGTCTCGCCAAATGCTTCGCCATTATTTTGGAATCCACAGTATTTATACAAGTCTTAGCATTGCAAGGTTTATTTGACGAAATTAAAACGAAACGAAATACTTATGATATCTCTAAGAACTGCACACAGTATAATAGCTGCCAGGCCCACATTAAAAGTTGAGATTTCAAGGTCGTTGTCTTGCTTATCAAATAGGACGGAGTCTAAAAAACCCAATTATTAACACGTCAATAGTGTTCAAAGAAACCTAATTATTAAGACGACCCGTGTTCAATAAAAAAACCCAACTTAATTAAAACGGCCGATGTTAAAAAATCAAGACGACCAGTATTAAAAAAAAAAAAAAAAAAAATTAAGTCAGTAAGTGCTTATCAAATGGGACGGAGTCTAAAAACCCTAATTATTAACACGGCACTAGTATTCAAAGAAACCTATAATTATTAAGACGACCCGTGTTCATAAAAGCCTAAATAAGACGGCATGTGTTAAAATAAAAACCTAATTAAGACGACCGATGTTAAAACAAAAACTCCTTCAGACGGCGAGTATTAAAAAAAATAAATAAATAAATTAAGACGACTTCACATATAAACATACATTATGCAAGAGCTAAATCTGTCTATTGCAGGTCTTTCTTTAGGCCTGAAATATTATCTAAATTATTAATTAGACATTAATTAACTTATCCAGACCATAATCAACTCTAGATGGCATCGCTAGCCTGCGATCTTAAGTGGATTGTGAACCGATTTACTGCATAACTTTCCTTCTCGGTTAGTGTTTCGAACGTAGCACTAGTATAATAGGGGCTAAAGGACAATGTCGTTGTCAACAAGTATGACGTGATAGAATTGGTTAAACACATTCCAAATATAGTTTTGTCACAGAGATCATTGCTACGGTAGATGGGTATCGAAGGTTTGAAGAAACGGCAAGTAACGCAAATAATAGAAATCACGAGTTATCTTTATTTTTTATATACTCTTCAAAAAAAGGTAGGGGATATTGAAATGCAATTACCTATGCAGGTTGCGATATGATAAATAGTCATGGACATTTGACTTGCTTTGAGAGTATGTTCACAGATAAAGAACTTGTCGCCCCAACTGAACCACTGAGCTGCACATGCGACACGCAATAGCGCCATACGCGTTGGAGGGGTTCATTGTCAAATTTGACACTTCAAGGAAGGGTTGATGAAAACCGCCGCGTGCTGGTTTATCTATCCATGTTTGCTTTCTTATCGGTTCTTGCATAAGATTTACTGTTTAGCGTATCTTTGCTTAAGTGTGTTCCGTTTAATTTGATCTGGAGACGTGTTCGTCGACGTCAACGTCAACCGACAACACTGCAAGAATTGGCCATGACACTGCAAGAGGAGTGGGTCAGATTGCACCAAATCGTGATTATACGATTGATTAGGAGCATGCCACGACGAATTGCTGGATGTCTGAATATTGGTGGAGCAATTACTCATTATTAAGACAAAAAAAAAACGTCCATTTTCACCTTTGACGGTGTATCTCTTTGCGTGTGAAATGGGGCCGTCAGATAAGCCTCCCATATGAACTGTTTATGTTCATGTGTAGGCAATTGGCCTGTTATTAACATACACTGGTTACCTCTAATAAAAACAGCAGTGCATTTCTGCAGTTTTGTATTGTTTCTGAATATCCCCTACTTTTTTTGAAGAGTATATAACTGACTGAAGGAACGAGCGATAACAGATACACAATCGAATTTCAGCTCACTAATAATTACGTTGAAGACGAAAAGTTGTTATATGGGACCAGTTCTATCACATATGTGATATCGGTGGACAGCAACATTGTCCTTTAACCTCAGCTTGCACATACATGGCGCGAAGTCGAGGGTAAAAGTATGGTGCTTCTAAAGTTATCATTCATCCCCAATTTTTTGTAACTTGGTGGGTTTTCTCCGGGTCCCCTTGTTTCCTCCCACTGCTAAAGACCCCTACGCGCAAGCGAATTGAAATAAAATTGAACCATATGTTAGTCCCGAAATGACCTAGTTGTGTCGAGTGGACGTTACCCCCCCCCCCCCTATTATTTTTAATAAATGAGCTGTGTGGGAATAAAATTCTTTTGATTGTGTTACAGTATTTCCTCCACTTCAAAATATGCTTATTTACCGTTATGTTGGCATATTTTTTTTTCGCCTCACCGGATGCCAGATGCGACGGTGCTTGAAACGTAGGCCTGTACAACCTATGCCTGCCTAACATACCCCTAGCTAAGCGTATGTCAGCAGGTGATATGTTTTAACGCTAGCATACGCTAGTACGATACGCCATGGGATCATAGAACTGTAGGCTACGATCTATGATGGGATTATCCGATGAGAAGCTTTGCGTAGCTAGTAATTATTAACAATCGTATGTACATATAAAGGGAAGTAAGTCAGAGAAATACTAATGGGGTGTAGACCACAACTAATTTCTCCATTGACGGCCAACATAACCGTGTTCGAAATATCTTACCCTCGCGGGCCCCGACAAGTTCTTCGACATGACTACCATCCGTTGCGCGAGTTTTCGCCAATTTTGAGACAAGACAGGCCGTCTACTACACTTATTTAAAATTTAAATTGTCATTTTGTATTTACTAGCCTGTGGACTGTTTGATTTCCCAAGGTTTGGCCTGAAACGGACAAACTTACAAAAAAATGAATGCACAAAAAAATTGAAGAACTGTTTTGACGTTTACAATAACTAATTAACAATGACATATCAGGTGTCATGGTGAATGAAATAATTAACATTTTAACTGTTAATTAACTAGACGTGTTGATAAGGTTATATTGGGGTAAATAAACAATTTTCTTCTTTTTAAAAATATGATATAAATGTTGATTTATCCGATATAAAAAAATTGTTTGGAAAATGAATTGGCAATTTCCTTGTTCATTAAAGCGTATATATGCTATACTGCAGAAGGGAATTAGATATTTCTTCGTTTATTGTACAAGCAACAGATCAATAGGCCTACTCTTACAGGTGTCTTTATCAAGGCATTATTGATAAAGATACATAAGTGTACTGAAACATTGCATGTATTAAACTAAGAATTAGCCTATTAAATCTATAAAGTAACAGCTTTGTTATTAATTATTAATGCTTACAACACCATGCTATTTATAATTGCAGGGCCGGCGGAAGCTCTGTTTAGCTTTAATGGGATATACTAATCATTGAATTCAGTCAAGACATTCGCCTAATGAACATCTATACCTTAATTAAAAGCAGAGTTGTTATGTTTCAGTCTTGACCAATCCAATTGCTTATCGCTACTTAGCCTAAGCAAAGCAGTTAATTCTCATCATCGAACTTAGTCAATGTATTGATGTAATGAATCTATACTTAGCCTTAGTGGAAAATGCGCATGAACGAACTATGTCAAGGCATTCACCTACCGGCAATAGATACCTACACCAATTTTTAACATTCTACCTCACTTAGAAGGAGCGTTATTGTGTTCCAAAGTCTCGATGAATCAGATTGAAGTCTCTACTTTGCCTAAGCAGAAAATGCTCAGCATCGAACCTTGCTACGGTATTTATTTAAAAACACTATAAACACAGAATCAAAGTTATCAGCCAATCAAATTGCTTATCTTCGAATTCCATCATCGCATTCACCTATAATCAACGCCTACATCGATTTTGATCATCATATTGTGTTCCAAAGTCTCGACCAATCAAAATGCTTATGCTGCTTACCCTGAGCAGAAAATGCTCATTATCGAATTTAGTCAAGGTATTGATGTAATGAAACTACTGTATACACTACATTTCACCACTTTCACTTATTAATTGCAACTAAAGTTATCGTGTCCCAAAGTATCAACCAATCAAATTGAATAGTCCCCCTATATCTCTGCTTACCTAAACAGAAAATGCTCACCTTCGAATTCCCAAAAAGTGTGACGGGCAGGCGGACGGACGGACAGACAGACGGACGAACCCATTTTAAAGGAGCTAAATCGCTAACATTTGGGACCTAGAAATTCACAAAAGTGGGTCGCAACGCATATAATACTGTAATATGAATGTATATAAACTGATTTACATTTAATGGTTTCCGTTTTTACTCCAATTTCAAATCAGTTATGTTCGGCGAAATAAGTCAGCAATCTCAATCGAGTGCAAATTTCTAGCGTCTAGTTATTCTAGTCTACATAACTCCATTTGATTTGGTGCAATGTGTCTAGCCTCGTCCCTCGAGTCTCTCAATACAACTGGGACTGAAGCGCATTATGGTACACGATTCGTGTACCAATGTTAAAAAAAATATTTTATCTTAAATATCGGATATCAGAAGCTCATCTTTTCCCGGTAAGTTTACATCATCAATGTTGATTTAAATTGACCAATACCTCGTGTTTTCGATGTCGAAGATTTTGGAGGATTTTGAGTTACGGACATAGGTCCTTTAATAGTCCCCTGCTTTATTTGAAAGGCGTGGGACAAAAATAGCAATAGGCCTATATATTATTATTATTGTAGGTAGTAGGACTATATATACTGAGTAAATTTTATGCCAACTTAATAATTAGGCAACTAGCAGAAATATAAATAAATTTAATCTGACAAAAACCGGTAACTTTCGCAAAGTTATCTCCCTTAATCTTGGTTTATAGAGTTATATCCCTTCCGCAATATGGTCGAATGATATTGATAAAAAGCAGTGTGAAAGTATTGTGTCTATTTTTGAAGAAAAATACCCTATAATGGCAGATAAAATGGAGGTTGACAATCCTGGTCCTTCTGGGGGCGTAATGGCTTCAGCTGGTGCTTCAGGAAGTGTTTCTGTTGCTCTACATCCTCTTGTCATCATGAATATTTCGGAACATTGGACAAGAGTCAAAGCGCAGGAAGGACAGCCAGTTCAAGGTAGGTCTGGCGTTAATTCAGCTCTGAAGTCTAAACGTATTCACGTATTGGCTCGTTGTCGTAAGTTTTATACTTCCTTTAAAATTTTACTGGAAACTTTTTACTGCTAAAAAAAGGTCACGTGTCACTGTCAGTGTCAGTCCAAGTGAACATTGTACAATGTCAATGGACAGGAATGCCAGTTAACTTGTCCATAATAAACAAACTCAAACTCGTCAGTCGTCCACACAAAAATTCTAGTCAAGTCGTCCACAAATATCAAAACTTGTTGATCAAGTCGTCCACACGGTAAATTTGCTTTATGTCAGTTGGCAGATTATCACCAAGCTAGAGTGGATTCATTTTAACAACCACTTACATTGTAATTGTAGGCCTTGTATTTACTATGAGTTTTGTTTTTATTTTATAGTTCTTGGTGCATTGATTGGTAAACAGAAAGGTCGTAATATTGAGGTTATGAACTCTTTTGAACTGGTTATTGATCATGTTGATGGTGGTATTGTTATAAACATGGAATATTATAATACAAAAGAAGAACAGTGTAAGTTATTATAAATAAAACTTTGAAATATATGCATTTTATTCTTTAAACATGCATTTATTATGTAAGATTTAGATACAGAGCTGGCCGTTCTTGCCATAATCGTTCAAATATAGATAATGCAAAATGAATGTATTGAAAATTTCATTCAAATTAATTTATTCTGGGTGAAGTTATCACTGTTCAGAGGTTTGGTAATATGTGGCATTGATTGTTTATTATCGTAACAACGGTAGGGCCTTGTTGTTATTCGAGACTTAGCCTTGCTTCTCCACTTTTAAATTAAATCATTAAATGGTTGATGCATTCTAATCAACTTAAAATCAGAGCCATCCAGTGTCCTAGAAAGTTAATTATGGGCTTGTCATGTGAATAAATGTATAATCAATAATTTATATAACATTAGAAGCCAAAATAAAGACCTGCAATAGGCATATTTAGCTCTTACATAATGCATCTTGAAACAGTGTAAATTTTCTGTTATAGCTGTTATAATTATTTATTAATCATGGTAGTTTATTACATAATATAAATTTAGTAGTTTGTGTCAATGAATACAATATTTAAATTTCTTTTATCCCTTTTAATTAGTTAAACAAGTGTTTAGTGATATGGATTTTCTGGGTTGGTATACGACTGGTGATACTGTCAATGAGGCAGATATTAAAGTTCACAAACAGGTAAATCAAATCAATCCTTCATTCTGCGTTTCACAACTACATGTATATGTACAACTGTATATGAAGCCTTTTTTATACGCCCACATTTTCATGTGGAGGTATTATGCTGTTGCCCCTGTCCGTCCGGACGTACGTCCATCTACAATTTATTTGTGGACATTCCACCGGTCACAATTTTTTTCCGATTTTGACGAAAATTGAAATATAGGTCTATCTCCCAAAGATCTAGGTTCCTTTTGATATTGGCATGTATCAGACCATAACTTCATGGATTATGGCCCCTGAGTAGGAAGAATCACGTTTTTGGCTTGTGGACACTCTAGTGGGCACAGTTTTCATCTGATTAACCCAAAGATTTTGGTTCCTTTCGATATTCGCACATATCCCATCGTAACTTCCTGAATTATGTCCTCTGATTGTACAAAAAATTGTGTTTTTAGCTTGTGGTCCCTCTAGAGGTCAAAATTATTATCTGATTTAAAAAAAACGTTCGAATATATCACCATTGCACCGTAAAGTCTGTTTGGTTCAAATGTCGTGAAAATCAGACCAAAACTACTAGACCAAATAGCTGCCCCTCTTATGCAAATAGTGAAAAAATGTGGACCATCTAGAAGTCACAATTTTGATCGGATTTTGGTGAAACTTTAAATGCATGTTTATAACCCAAAGATCTTGGTTCCTGTCGATATTCACACATATCGGATCATAACTTCTTGAATTATGACCCCTGAATGTACGAAAAATCATGTTTTTAGCTTGTGGTCCCACTGCAGTCACAATTTTTATCCGATTTAAAAAAACTTTCGAATGTATCACCGTTACACCATAATGTCAGTTGAGTTTGAATTTCGTGAAAATCGGGCCGAAACTGCTGGCCAAAATTTGCCACTCCTTGTACACAAATAGTGTAAAAGTATGTAATATGAAGGTTGCAGACCCTCTAGAGATCACAGTTTATATCTAATTTTGATGAAACTTAAAATATATCTTTTTATCCAAAAGATCTCAGTCACTTTCCATATTTGCACATTTCAGACCATAACTTTCTGAATTATAACCCCTGATTGTATGAAAAATCACTTTTGTTTTTAGATTGTTTTCTATCCATTTCTTGCAAAATGTGGGTGTATCTTGCCTGGCAACCTCTGGTCTATATAATAAATCTTATAATTTTAATCAAATAAATACACTTTATATAGGCCTATTGATCTGTGTTGTAGACCATTTTTACTGCGATCTGTGTATTGTGATCTATGTTGCCTTTAATTGTTGGGGGTTGGATGGCTGAATGGTTGGCATGTGTGCGATGTATCTTGAGGTCTGTCATTGAGTCAACTGGTGTGCTTTCGATTCACTGGTTGTACGTGACATGAGTAGGGTCGCCTGTCCAACCTCGTGGGTTTTCTCCAGGTCCTCTGGTCTCCTCCCACTGCTAAAGACCTATGCTCAAGCAAATAATTGAAATAAAATTGAACCATATGTTAGTTCCGAAATGACCTAGTTTGTGTGAGTTAAACCCCATTCTCTCTCCCTCTCCCTTTAATTGTTATCCAACCTCGTGGGTTTTCTCTGCGTCCTCCAGTTTCCTCCCCCTGCTAAAGATCCCTACTCACAAGTGAAATATTAAAATAAAATTGAACCATGTGTTAGTACCGAAATGACATAGTTTGTGTCAAGTTGACATTAAACCCTCTCTCTCTCTTTAATTGTTATCTCCCTTTAATTTTTCCTGTCAATTTTAATAATCTGAAAGTCTGTTGTTGCGGTGACTTCAAATTAGGAACTGAACCAAGGGGAAAATTTTTAGTCAAAATCTCCACTTTTGTTAATGAGCTGATAAAGCTTGTAAACAATGCTTCAGACATATAAGATTTTATTGTGTGAATTCAAACTAATTACAAATCTTAAATGTACTGGTATACATAATTCATTGCTGTCCATTATTGTACTTCTTCTTGACTTGTTACAATGATTTCGTTGATGCATACATTATGGAAGAGCAAAATTGGCCTATTGTAGGTCTTTCTTTAGGCCTAAAAACTATTAATTAGACATTAATTACATGTAACTTATCCAGACCATAATCAGCTCTCGATGTCAAGGCTTGCCTGCGATATTTGTTGGATTACAGTCCGATTTGCTGCAAAACTTTCCTTCTTGATTAACGATTAAATGGATAATCAAGACTACTAGTTTTGTCTTATCGACTTCAGTAATGATGATCGAGGCTAAGCGGAACTTTCATCCGCTTAGTTCTCGGTTCATAGTGGATCAATTTGACTGAAATTTTCAGCAAGTTGCCTTTACATTATGTAGTTTTTAACTATTATAGTGAGAACTGCCAACTCGTTATCTAATCTCCCATGATGTTTCTTTAAATTATCACAACTTTCTAGGTTTGTAAGTTCAATTTACCAATACTTTATGTCTATTAATGTTTCTTTCAGGTGTGTCAGATAAATGAAAGTCCACTATTTCTAAAGATGAACCCAATAACAAGACATTCAGAATCAGTACCAGTAAGTATATGAAGCATGTGCAGGCTATTGTCAGTGGATAGTCAGAAATAAATATTTGTGATCCTATCCAATTTAAACCTGGCTAGATTTTTGTGACTTCGTCAAATAACCAATTATAATAATAATAATAAAAACTTTATTTAATGAGGCAACTTATTTAGTTTGCAAAAAACTAATCTTCCATAATCAGTTTTCATAGGCATATGTCAATGGCAGATGTTTATTACTAATACATCTCAATTATCTATGTGTTAGGTGGCTAATACATTATGGTTTTTTTATTTTAGTTACCTATATCTATATATGAATCAGTTATTGATTTAGTTAATGGAGAGGTAAGATTCTTTGTATAACATTACATTTATTTGTGCCAGAAGTTAGCGAAAAATTGAAAATGACCTGTTCATATAAATATTCTGATGTATTCAGCTTTGTGTAGCCCATTTACCTGAAAATGTATGTTATGTTACATTCAGCAGTACTTTGGTTATTGCACATTAAATAAACCTATCTTCAGATACAATAAGAGAATGCAATAAAGGCTTTCATATAAACTACTTGTAATTTCATGAAGGATAGGATTTGTTTCATTTGTATGAAAAGTTTTCTAAAGTAAAATGACATAATTACTTTTGTCAGTTTGTGTAGTTATTTGTTTTTAAGGTTTTAATCTTATTAATATTAATGCTACATATTTTTATTGAATTGTTTTTATCAGGCCACTATCTTATTTGTTGAATTGACATATACAGTGGCAACAGAAGAAGCTGAAAGAATAGGTGTAAATCATGTAGCTAGAATGTCTACTAATGAAACTGGTGATAGTTCTTCAGGTATGTGTATGGAAATATTGAGTGCATATTTTGGATGAAATACTCACTGCTCATGCAGTAATTAGCTTTCATTAAATTATATGGCTCACATAAATACAACTAATGATAGGATAGGATATATATTAATATATTGATTCAATGAAATTAACATATATTTCCCAAAAGATTAAACATAAATAATATATGGAGAATATGTTGCTTTAAAAATGTTCACAATTTCTAGAAATCTGAAAATGCTCCCCAAAGAATTTGAACAAAAAACAAAACGGATCAGATTCCTGTAATTGATTATTTGAGAGGCATTTGAATAAAGACGTACAATATTTAAATAGCAAAATCGTCAATCGGTGTGACTGCAGTTTTATTTCATTTCGTCTGGTAGTGGTAGGCTTAAAACTAAGTCTGTAATGGGCGTTCTCGCTGAAGGAATTCCCACCAGGTGTCGCTAGTAAAAACTCGGTTCCATGTGACCTTATTGATGGTAAGAGAACCGTATCGGTATTAAATTCCATATTAACGACAAAAACTAATGTTTGTCAACACACGAGTTCGTAATGAATGTACTGCGGTATAAGTTAAGGTAAACAATGAGGTCACGTGGGACCGCCTCGCCTATAAATTATGTCCCTTTATCTCTAGCGAGGACCCCCTTTGACATCTTTTTACTTTAAAACAAGGATGGAATGCAGTTGGACTTCTTGTCTATACAATTCTGGACTATTTTTATTTGAAGTGGGGTGGGGGTGATGGCTGAATGGTTAGCTTGTGCGCGCTGTATCATAAGGTCTGTCATTGAGTCAACTGACTTGGTTTTAATTCCCCGGTTGTACGTGACAAGGTGTAGAGTTGACTGTCCACCCTTGTGGGTTTTCTCTAAGTCCTCCAGTTTCCTCTCACTGCTAAAGATCCATATACGCAAGCGAATTATTGAAATAAAATTGAACCATATGTTAGTCCCAAAATGACATAGTTTGTGTTGAGTGGAAGTTAAACCCCATTTCACTCTCTCTTTTTTGAAGGGTTACATGTGCAGTGTGAGGGACAAAGAATCTAGCCATATAATTCTTAATGGTTCTTTTATGCTTGTGTGTACGCAGGTGGTCCATCGTTTATTCATCAGATGATTAGGCAGATCTTCCCTGTGACTCCACCCCTGACAAGTAGGAACAAGTAGGAAGGTTTTTTGCTATTGGACAATCAAACTACTTGACTACCACACTACTACAGACCTTGTGAAACACCAACTTTTTGTATCATAATTTTATTGCAGATTGTTATATGTGCTGGACAAAAATATTCCATCAAATTATTTTTGGTGTTGTATTTTATATGATTTATTTGTTTTTTCTTTGTAGTGGCCCAACATTTAATAGCCCAACACAGTTCTATAAAGATGTTACATAGTCGAGTTAAAATTATATTGGAATATATCAAAGCTGTACAAGCCGGTTAGTACTATCTTATATTTATTAATTTATACATACATAACCATAGATAGAAAACTCAGATCGGACCTTACCAAGATAACATCAGCGCTCGAAATAAACCACGGCAAACGGCAAAACCGGGGTAAAAGCCAACGCAACCCCCGTCAGCCACGGCATAATTCATATTTTTTTGCCGTGGTAGATCTTATGATCCTAATAATGACTAAATGTACCGGTTATAGTACAGTACCAGGAGGATGTCGTCTGACCGTGCAATAATGTCATATATTTGTTTATCATTTTGACGAACGTCTGACAAATATATTGTAATTATCGAATACCGGTACACTTTTAACCCATGTGCTGTAGGCATATCCATGCTTTACCGTTACAGTGGTGTTATTTTCAACGATTATAAACTAAAATATACATAGAGTGCACGGACTGTTGCCTAGTTACTCTGGCTAATGCATGGACAATGTTACCATTCTCGTCATTTGTATTTTTAACTGTATATCGTTTGTCACATACGAAGGACCTGGATCGATTCACACCCTTTGTTTATAATTACTACGCCCTATGTAACGGATCGTATAAATTCAAAATATTTATTTTCTTGCTATTCTTTCAAACCAAAATTACATAAAATAGATCTGTTTTAGCGTTGTAACAACAATATGCCAAACAAACAATAAATTTTAAATTCATTTCACGAACTTTTTGCGCGTATGGATACACATAGCTTACTTCCTCCACTCTTTTTGACACTCGTCTGGCATTGATGCCGTCTCACTCTTAATTCTCATCAGTTTTTATTCCATAAATAATGGGGATTAGAAAAAAAAATCGTCGATAACTGGAAACTAGATAGCATTGGTTGTGAGTTAGAATCCAACAACAGTAATGTTGTTAAACGTATTTACTGTAAGGTATGCTGTGAAGTATATGGCAGTCCGGAATCCGTTATGAATGCCAGTGCCACAGATGGGCCTGTACCGGCGTATTTTCCACATCAACGTATTCGTGGAAATGTAATGAGAAGAATCGATAAATGGGTTACAGGTACTACTGTAATAAAGAAATGTAATGCCAAAGACCATGTTAATATATTAAAGTACACCAGGATGCATTACTTAGACACTGTAGTGAAAACCCCCCTGCGTCAAGTTGGCTCTAGTACTAGTACCGGTAGCTGCGATTTGACAGTTGAAGAAAATAATATGTTGAAGTCAAGCCAGATTACTATTACCGAATCACGTAGAAAACTGTATGTTTCACACAAAAAACAATTGGTTAAAAAATTCCAACTTGCCCATTTTGTTGCTGCAAATACCCGGCTATTTACCGACTAGCAAATTTTGAAAAAAATATTCATGGTGTTGATTTGGGAGGTGGGTATCTCTCAGACAAATCTGGGCGTGAAATGGTCTCAGTATTAGCACACTGCATAAGAAAACAGGAAGTTACAGAACCCTTAAATGATAAACAAAGAATTTATTATTCACTTTTCTATGATGGGTCTAGTAGTGCCAAAACAATGGATGAAAAAGAATTGTATGTAAACAAAACTTGCAAAGATGGAAGCCCAAGTTCCAAATACTGTTATTAGAAGAACCAGAAAACTCAGATGCAGAGGGCCTTAAGGTGGCTTTGACAACTTGCATGAACAAACAAGGATTTGTCTTCAATAGAAGTGAACGACAGATAGGCAATGGTAGCGATGGAGCTGCTGTGAACAATAAACTTTTTGAAATGGAAAAAAATGATATAGGTGATCATCTTATACAAGGATGGTGTGCGAATCATAAAAATGAACTAGGAATAAAGGACAGTTTAAGGGATTGCAACTTAATTCTGAATGTCAGGAACTGCTAGACAGCGTTTTTTATTTCTTCAAACGTGCTAATTTGAAGTTCAGGTTACTGAAAAGACAGGCATTGTTCATAAATCAAAAACTATATAAATATAAAAGACCTAATGGAACTAGGTGGGTGTCTCATTAAGTGGATTCCTCCGACAGTTTTATCAAAAACCTTCCTATTTTTTTGCCTTTTGTAATCAACAAATCCATTCGCCACACAAAAAAACTATGAAAGATTCTCGTCTAAAGCTTCAGGGGTTGTTAAAAAATTCATCAAAACTACCTACTTTGATTTTTCTTTGTGCTCGGAAAGATATTCTTTCATATATGACACCGTTTTCAAATATTTTACAAAAGCACGAATTGCTTGTGCCTGAAGGAGTTACATCGATGAAAGCACTCATTCAAACACTAGAAAAGTTAAAGGACTTGGTCCATGAAAAAGGTTCAGATGCATTGTACATGGAAGAGTACTTCCCCACATTAGCCAAGTTATGCTGGCCTTTCTTAAAGGAAGACATTCCAGATCAACTTTTAACTGCACGCAACTCGTGGGAATCCCGGTTTTGCTGTGCACTCAGTTGGGGATTCTAACAAAAAGTCATTCCATGGGTATGCTATGACAACTACCTTGGAGGAAGCTCTGTCGTTGGTCATAAGAAATTTAGAAGCTATTCTTGAAAATTTATGTGTTAACATAAAACAGAGATTTTCCAATTTTACTGATAACCCTATTTATTTGGCTGTAGCCAATCTTTTGGACACGAAGGGGTACCAATTTAAGAATAAAGCAGATATTAAGCAATCGATACAACTATTAACTGAACATTTTTCACCAGTGTTAGCGGCAAATGGCTGTGACACTTTGAAAATACAACAATAATTTGATACGGTGCATCTCAATGTTAAAACATTTAAAAAAAATTCATCAAGTCACAATGTTTGGCCGCAACGTTTTCAGTCAAGACTTGATTTAGTTATTGATAATTTTTTGCATTTAGCAGAAATCGCAATAGTTGTACCGATAAGTAGTGCTGAGGTTGAGAGAGTATTCAGCAAATTTGTAAAAAAATTTAACAAAAGACAGACAATCTTTAAAAAATCAGACAAATGAAGATTTGTTAATAATTAGCAGTTATAGTGTCAGTTTCAATAATTGTGAAGAGCTGTACAATAAAGCCGTTGAACACTTTCTCCAAACAAATCCTGATGGCGGTGTCGCCAAAAGAAAGAAATAGACGTCCCTGGGGGTATAAACTAAAACGTAAATTGACAGTATCTTCAGATAGTGCTACATGTAGAAAGAGGAATTGTTTATTTTTGCCATCAGACTCCAATGACACTGATCCCCCACTGACTGATAGTGAAAGTGGCAATGATTATGCAGATATAAATAATGTGGATGTAGCCGAAATATCTGTTATTTCTACATCAGATTCAGAATCTGATTCATTTTAAGTTTAATCTTGAATGGATGCATCAGTTACGTGTAGGACTATGATAAAAAGACTATGAAAGGCTTTTTGAACAGTTGTTTTCGTTTTTAGTAAATTAATTAGCAGAATTTTCATTATTGTAAAACTACAGTAAATAACTACAATGGTATATGTAATACCACTTATATTAGTTTTGTTATCATGTGTATAATAAATAAATTTTATCCATCTTGAAAAGTTAAGAAAAGTAGTGATTTTGATATACAAAAAATGCTGTGGTGCCGTAGCAGTACCATTCTGCCACGGCATTTTTCATTTTTTTGTGCCGTGGTAGAAAATTCTTAATTTCGAGGACTGTAACATTGTTACTTTGTTTTGCTTTTCAACTTTTGATGGATTTTTGGTTCACTGAAAAAATTCTCACTTCATTGGTTAGAGAAATTGTGTTTTCTTTCAGGAAAAATACCTAAAAATCATGATGTTCTTCGAGAAGCTTACAGTCTGTGTTACCGGTTACCAGTTTTAAATACTCACACATTTAAAGAAGATTTTTATAATGTAAGTTAAAGATGCTGATCGTCATTTGAAGAATTTCGAATCCCTTGTAAACTACAATATTGTAAAAATTGAATCTCTAATATCCAAATTATTCAATTCCATTCAACATTTATAATGATATGATGAATTGAACATAAATATTAGTGAATTAGCAGTATGGGATTTTATTTAGATGTTTGTCATGGTAGAAGGACACCTGACTCTCAACCAGAATCAACCCTGTATAAATCCTAGCATAAATTGTGAAGAACAATAATTATACTGACATCTCCAGGACACTTTTCTGCAACATATTTATCATATGTCAGTCCCAACATGACCTAGTTGTGTAGAGTGAAATTTAAATTAATATGTTTAATAGTTGATATTTAAACATTATGCAAGAGCTAAATCTGCAGGTCTTTCTTTAGGTCTGAAATGTTATCTAAATTATTAATTCGACATTAATTAACTTATCCAGACCATAATCAACTCTCAATGTCTTCGCTAGCCTGCGATGTTTATTGGATTAGGTTCCAATTTGCTGTTAGACTTCCATTCATTATTTAATCATGAAATGGATAATCAAGACTTATGTTTTTTATCGTACTGACTTTAGTAATGATGATCGAGGCTAGTCCGAAAATTCAATCGCTAAAATCTTGGTTCAGAGTAGAACAATTTAACTGAAATTTTCAGCAAATTCCCTTTACATTATCTAATTTTTAACTGTTATTATGAGAACTGCCAGCTATTTATCTAATCTCCCATAATGTATCTTTAATATATTTTTAGCAATGTAATGATGTTGGGTTAATGGCATATCTTGGAGCAATGACAAAAGGATGTAATACAATGAACCAGGTAGGTGAATTTATATTAAACATGACAAATACGTATTTTGAACTGCTGACATATGCTTTTTGCAACGTGAACATTGAAATAATATTGGCAACATGATCCTTCCATAAGCAACCCCGCCTAACTCGTTGGAGGTAGCTCGACCTGTCTATTGCTAGGGACGGTAGAGATTGATTCTTGAATTCAAAATTATTCAGTGGTTTTGAATTATGAAACTTACTGAAACTTGCTGAAAAATTGTCAAGATTTGTAAAAGTATGAATTTGAATGATTGCTTTCTTATCTTTACAGATACATTATAAATGTCATATTAACTACGTTAAACTTTGGATAAGTCGGATTCATAAAAGTCGGATTTTCACTCAACTCAGATAAAATCGTTTGGACCCTTTGATCCTGCACATTTTTCTTATTAAATTTCTAGGTGTAAGTCAGATTTTCTAAGTCGGCTCTTTGCTCAACTCGGATTGAAATGTTCGATCCATTTGATCTAATTCCGGCTTTTTTCCTTCACCTAAGTCGGATCGCCAGTATCTTCAGAATTTGACTTAGTCAGTTTCGTCTCGATGGTCTAAAACACGGTTAGGTATTCCACGAACAGAGCCCCAAAATATTTTCCCCAATCAAATCAGCCTATTTGTCGCAACGCAATAACGGGAAAATTCGAAACTTGCTGTTTGCTGTATGAGACACTTTCCTGGAAAATTTAGGACATTTTTCAAAGATGGCGACAAAACGAAAGTTATCTACTTGCACCAAAATGGAAGTTATCTACTCGCACTTACAAACAAAACCTTTAAATGTGCCTTTGAATCAACTATTTTTCGGCTCTTGCAGTTTATTTCTAATCGAGCTAAGATTGAATTTCGGTCTTCGGCTAACTCGGATCTTCGCTTAACACAGGGGGGTTGGATGGCTGAATGGTTAGCGTGCGCGCGCTGTATCATAAAGTCTGTCATTGAGTCGACTGGCGTGGTTTCGAATCCCCGGTTGTACATGACAAGGAGCAGGGTCGCCTGTCTAACCTCGTGGGTTTTCTCCAGGTCCTCCGGTTTCCTCCCACTGCTAAAGACCCCTATGCGCAAGCGAATTCTTGAAATAAAATTAAACCATATGTTAGTCCCGAAATGACCTAGTTTGTGTCGAGTGGAGTTAAACCCTATTTCTCTCTCTCTCTCTCTCTCTCTCTCTCTCTCTCTCTCGCTTAACACAGATAAAATTGGTTAGTCCACTTAGATTCGACTTATGCAAAGTTTACTGTACAATTAAATGCTGATCTGTGCTATCGAATTATATAGAAATTAATGTGTTCATTTCAATTTCAGTTTATTACCAAATTTAATGTTTTATATGACAGACAAGGTATGGGAAGAAGAATGAGAGGGTTATTCTTTTAGTTTATAAAACCTAAAGACTGTTTTTTGAATGTGATGTATTTTGTTTTGTATGTTCTGTTTCTGATTAATGTGGCCCATAGCATAAAACAAGACCATAGTTAAAGAGACCTGTACAGTGAATCTTACTGAAATAATCTGTAGGTTTACTAACTTCATTCTGCTTTATGCATGGACCTGTCATTTTATAAACAGTCCTAAGTGACAAAGAATATTTCTTTGTTATGTGAAAAGAAAGATGGAAAAATAATAAGATTGTATATTTGTATTATTATTATAAGAGAAATAAAATGAATGTCCACCATATGATGGTCATATGATTGAACACAGAACCTATTTGGTTTCCCAATTTAATATTTAAAGTTTCCTTCTCCATATGGTTGTGAAATACCCAGAAAAGTGAAATACTCTGTTGAATCGAGCTTCACATAAATGCTACAATAACGCTGGGAAATACTGGGAGGAGTAGAGTCAGTTTACTGGATAGCCGATGTCTCCGGAGAATGAATTTAAGTTGACTGTGCTATGATGGAAATATTTGCTCGGACAGTGACATCAGGCCTTCTCTTATTGTCCCCCGCCTTTCAAAGAAAGCAGGAGTCTGTCTGTCCGTCACACTTTTTGGGGGACATAACTATCCTAATTGAAGTAGAATGTTCAAACTTTGTGTAGGTGTTTATTAGGTCAATGCCTTGATAGAGTTCGAAGATGAGCATTTTCTGCTTAGGGTAAGCAGAGATAAGCAGTTTGATTGGTTGATGCTTTGGGACACGATAACTTTAGTTCTAATTAAGTGCCTGTGATGAAACTTGGTGTATAGTTTCATTACATCAATACCTTGACTAAGTTCCATAATGAGCATTTTCTGCTGAGGATTGGGGGACTGGATGGCCAAATGGTTAGCGCGTGCATGTCGTATTATAAGGTCTGTTATGAGTCAACTGGCGTGGTTTCAATTCCCGGGTTGTAGGTGATAAAGAGTAGGGTTGCCTGTCCAACCTCATGGGTTTTCTCCGAGTCCTCTGAGTTCCTCCCACTGCTAAAGACCCCTATGCGCAAGCGAATTATTGAAATAAAATTGAACCATATGTTAGTCCTGAAATGACCTGGTTTGTGTTGAGTTAAACCCCATTTTTCACCTCCCTCCCTCCCTCTCTCTCTCTCTCTCTCTCTGTCTCTGCTGAGGGTAAGCATTCTGATTGGTGAGACTTTGGAACAAAATAACAGAATGTTCACACCTGGTGTAGGTGTTTATTAGTTAAATGCCTTGATGGAGTTAAAAGATGAGAATTTTTTGCTAAAGGTAAGCAGATATATAAGCCATTAGATTGGTTAATGCTTTGGGACGCGATAACTTTAGTTCTGATTAAAGGAGCATTATAGGATATTAGATAAAGAGTTAAAAGTTCTCACTATAATAGTTTTAAAAAACAGATAACGTAAATAGAATATGCTGAAAATTGCAGCACTCTGAACCGAGATATTAGCTTTTGAATTTTAGGATAGTCGACCATCAATAAACAAAGTCTTGATTATCCATTTTTATGTTAAATTTTATTTTACAAAAAATGTATTCCAATCTGCTAAATATCGCAGGTCAGAGATGGCATCGAGAGTTGATTATGGTTTGGATAATTAATGTCTAATTAATGATTTAGATAACATTTCATGCCTAAAGAAAGACCTGCAATAGGCAGATTTAGCTCTTGCATAATGTATGTTTAAGTGAGAGTGATGTAGTTTCATAACATAATACCTTGACTAAGTTCAATAATGAACATTTTCTGCACAGGGCAAGCAGAGCGATAAGCAATTTGATTGGCTGAGACTTTGGAAGGAACACAATAACTCTCCTAATTGAGGTAGAATGTTCAAACTTGGCCCAGATTTAAGTTCATCCACGACCTTTTGTCATTATTGCTGCCCCCGTTGTTGTTCCATATATATTTGCTAGCTGTATATTCGGATATTAGGTCCTCGCGCATTTCGAACTGAAGATGTTACAACAGTTTTCTCGTCCAGGCAAACAGAAAAGGCTTGACATAACTTGCTATAGGTAGATCTTTTATTCGCTGGAGAATTTTGTCATTTTTATACGCCAACATGTTTAACTTTGTTGAATCTTGTGAACGCTTGAATGACAAAAGTTATCACCGAATCTGTATGAAATTATATGCATCATTTAAATTAGTGAAATGAAGAATCCTATTGAATGTTAGCAATTTCCGTCAATTACTTCTAGAGTTATGGCACTTGTTTTACTTTGTTGAACCTTGTGAACGTTCAAACGACAAAAGTTATCATCCGATCTGTATGAAATTTATATGCATTATTTGAATTAGTAAAACGAAAGAGCCTGTCGATCTATTTATTTTGGGATTTCGGCGGGGGACATCAGTCTCACTGTTGGCTTGTTTTAATTTCAAACTGTCATTAGATTTTTAACAAGCTAGCAATGTTATACATTGAACCTCAGTGTTTCGTTCGTACCATCCAAAATGTTAGACGCTTTGCCTTGACATGACCGCGTCCTGGGTCACTAACAAAGAGAATCCAGGCTGGGAGGCAAATCCCAGAGACTTTCTTGGCCAACACCTGGGTTTCCTAGTTAGCGAGCCAGCATCATTCTTATGAAGGCTATCTCTTAATGTAGAACTAATAAGACGTTGGTCGCCAACCTGGTTGTCCTGTGTTCGATCCCCGTGTTGGTCGAGAAAGTTCATCGGATTTATTTTTGCGTCCTTCCCTATTGTTAGTGGTGCATGAAGGAGGGTCTGTCATGGAACAATGTAGGCTATAGTTGTTCAGATGGTACATAAAACTGAGGTCCATTGTGCACATTGGCGTGCAGGTAACCCTTGACAGTTGGAATTGGAAATAACAGTAGGCCGCAGCAGTGTATGCCCGTCTTGACTATGCCCCAGTCGTTGCAGAAAAGTGGGACTTTAAACCCCATTTAATTCCCTTGCTAAATACTTTGTTCCTTATCCTAGGAAATAGTGTTGAATTAATCAATTTGTGTCAGATATGGCGAGAGATGTTCATTTTGACGAACAAAGAAGAATCACGGTGAAAAATAGACAGTGCCAAAGGTAAATCCGCACTGGAAGCGAGAAGTTGGTATATGAATATGTATGTGATTAACCCAACAGATTTGATAATAAATCGGGGGGGGGGGGATGGCCGAATGGTTAGCACATGCGCGCTGCGCTGTATCATACGGTCTGTCATTTAGTCAACTGGCGGGGTTTCGATTCCCCGGTTGTACGTGACAAGGAGTAGGGTCGCCTGTCCAGCCTCGTGGGTTTTCTCCGGGTCCTCCGGTTTCCTCCCACTGCTAAAGAACCCTACGCGCAAGCGAATTATTGAAATAAAATTGAACCATGTGTTAGTCCCGAAATGACCTAATTTGTGTCGAGTGGACGTTAAACCCCGTTTCTCTCTCTCTCGATAATAAATCGGGCTGTCAGCCCAAAATAGCTTTTATGCTATCTCTGAATTACTGACCCCATCCCCCACTTACCGCACCAAGACCACCTTTAATTTATCAACCAGCGGTTTTTGATCAATCGTGAACCACAATCCACTCTATGTAATTAACTAGATAATTAACACTGCAGTATTTAAATCTAGATTTAGATGACCTTTAGTGAACCCGAGGCAGGATCTACTTTAGGATTTAATAGGCCTATAATCAAAGACAGGCTTATTATAGTTATTAATGGACAGAGAAAGCGTCACATTATGACGAAAACAACAGCAAAAGTCAAAATATTGCGAAATGAATTACCTGTCATTATCTACCGAATTCTTAGTTGTAAAATGTTAATGAATACTTTAGAAGTATATTTTAACCAACTTGGTTTCTATGTTCGGTACCTAACGTCAATTATATATCACAAAGATAGACAAACACGTTGTTGTTACAGATTTTTACACTTATTTCAATTTAAGTTGTATTCAGCTTGGCTAGGTGGTTAAGACGCTGGCTCGCTAGCCTGGAGGTCGGGTGTTCGATCCCTGCATTGGTCGAGAAAGTTCATCCAGATTTTCCGGCGTGGTTCCCCCTTGTCAGTGATGCAGGACGGAGGGCCTGACAAGAACAGTTGTCTAGTCCTTCGGATGAGACGAAAAATCGAGGTCCCGTGTATACATTGGAATGCACGTCAAAGATCCCTTGGCAGTTGGTATTCGATATAAGAGTAGGTGATAGTGCCGCTGCCTGGGCAAAATTTCCCTCATAGCACACTGTATGGCGTATGTCCGTCTTCATTAGCCCAGTATAGGAGCAGAACAGTAGGACGTTAAACCCCATTTCATTTCATGTCTTAATATAGCATACTATATATAGCGGTTTTATCTGTTAAGAGTCGTATAAACATTCAGTAGTGGACCGAGAAGTTTGGTTTTCACTTGTATGGGGATGCAAGGAGTTGTATGTACTAAGTTGGCAATGCACATGAAAGATCCATTGGATCAGTTCCTGGACAAGTGTTTAGGAAAGATTAAATTCTTGTAATACATGGCGTAACACGTTCAGGCTGTTGTCCATAGGTCCATCCACTAATAACATTACCCTAACAACAAAATAGAAAAACAAACAAAATTTTTATTTGACCAACGAATATTGTGAGTAATCAGACAGATATTACCAACTTAATTAATCTTGACATCTGTGTTGAATATTGCTGCAAAAACAAGGCGGTAGGGAGTTTTCAGTCCTTGTTGATTTGTTTTGGCGAATGCATTTCTATTGATGCACTTAGCGGACGGTTTACTCCTCGCTTGAATTGTTCCCGACACTCGCTGCTGTATCACGTTTGTAGAAAGATTTCACATTTCCTTTTTGCTGATGGTCAGTAGCCCGTTTGTAGAAACTGTTTAATTTTTCGCCATTTCGTTTGTAAAAACTTTGTTGGTTACCGTCTGACCTTTTATAGAAACTAGCAAGACCATTATTAGTTGATCGTTTGTAAAAGTTGTTCAAGTCATGTTCGCCTACAGTTCTTTTATAGAACGAACTCATGTTCTCGCCAGATCTTTTATAGAAGTTAGATATGTGGTCATTCATTGATCTTTTGTAGAAATTCGATATTCTTCTCTTGTAAAAATTGGAAAGTTCTGAACTTGGGGATCGTTTATAAAAATGAGCCATGTCGTCGTTCCTAGCTTTTTTGTAGAATCTGTGAGGATCACGTTTGTAGAAATTCAATAACTCACCGGAGCCAGGTGTGCGTTTGTAAAAGTTGGATAGATCGTCAGAACGTTTGTAAAAGTTGGATAGATTGTCGGAACGTTTGTAGAAGTTGGATAGATCGTCGGAGCGTTTGTAGAAGTTAGATGAATCGCCCGAACGTTTATAGAAGTTGGACAAATCGTTAGAACGTTTATAGAAACCGGACAGATCACCCGAATGTTTATAGAAGTTTGACAGATCGTCTGAACGTTTGTAGAAGCTAGACAGATCAGCTGAGTTAAGTGCTCGTTTATAAAAGCTAGACTGAGCTCCAGAGCGTTTATAAAAGCTGGACTTGTCACCAGAGCGTTTATAGAAACTGGACAGATCATCGGTGTCGGGTGTACGTTTATAGAAACTAGACAGATCATTGGCGTCGGGTGTACGTTTATAGAAACTGGACAGATCATTGGCATCGGGTGTACGTTTATAGAAACTGGACAGATCATTGGCGTCGGGTGTACGTTTATAGAAACTGGACAGATCCTCCGTGTCGGGTGTACGTTTATAGAAACTGGACATATCATCAGTATCGGGTGTACGTTTATAGAAGTTGGATAAATCATTAGCGCGTTTATAAAAGCTGGACAGATCGCCAGAATTTGGAGCGCGTTTATAAAAACTGGATAGATCGCCAGAGCGTTTATAGAAGCTGGACATATCGTCAGTATCAGGTGTACGTTTATAGAAGTTGGATAAATCATTAGCGCGTTTATAAAAGCTGGACAGATCGCCAGAATTTGGAGCGCGTTTATAAAAACTGGATAGATCGCCAGATCGTTTATAGAAGCTGGACATATCATCAGAAACCGGTGCACGTTTATAGAAGTTGGATAAATCATTAGCGCGTTTATAAAAGTTTGACTGACCTTCAGAGTCTGGTGCGCGTTTATAAAATCTGGATAGATCGCCAGAGCGCTTGTAAAAGCTAGATACCGGTGAACGTTTATAAAAACCGGAGATGGCTGAACCGGGTACTCGTTTATAGAAACTTTCAACTTCAGTATTTAACGGCGATCGTTTGTAAAAGCTTGATGCTGGACCAGCTCGCTTATAGAACGAACTCTGTCCATTGTTTCCAGCTCTTTTGTAAAATCCACTAACACCATTGCTAGATCGCTTATAGAAACTTTGCACTCTTCCCAAATCACGCTTATAGAATGAACTCGTATGCTCGTTTGGCGACCTTTTATAAAATGAATTTACTGGGAATCGCTTGTAAAAAGACATTTTGTTATTGTCCCCTCTTTTATAGAAGGCATCCATTATACCGAAACGGTCTCTCTTATAAAAATGACTCAATCCATTGTCTCTTTTATCCATTATATCTCCAGTACCTGAAATGATAAACAAACTTTCATAAAAGATACAAATTAGTAAGCTACCGGTATCATAAAAACATTTCTAATATTCGAACGGATATGTAGGAGCCTGCACTCTGTAATTATGATTTCTTACATTCAAGAAATTTAAGGGTCACATAATATGTCTGTGAATGTTTCATGGTAATTCACTCGGTCTATTTATATGTTTTTTTATAATTCTGGCGGGTGCCACACACAGAGTAAGCACATGATACTACTTGCACAATTGGATACTACTGTTTCACATTTAGAAAGTAGATACTATTTACAACATTTTTGTCTTTCGTTTTATGGACTCTTTGTCTTTAATTACCCCTCAAGATTGATCACGGACGGTATTATTTCTATTAAACTGGCATTTAAAAAGGTGGAAAATATGTTGTTGGACATACGCACACCCACAACCAGGTTATGTCGTGCGACATTTTATAAAGTAATGAAATAAACTAAAGTTCAGTTTAGAAGTAGATAATGAATTTAATAACATCTAGGAAAGAAAAATTCGTGTATGGTTGAAATCCGGAAATGAATTCGTGATTTTTTAAGGATCTTTATGCAATTTAAAGCGTTGTCAAAGATAATATCAAATATTAGATTTCGTGCTTGATTGTAATTTACTTGTCAAACAATGACGTATGGTGGACATTTAATACAGGACTAGACAATGGGTATTTTTGTTTAACCATTCGATAACATTGGTTTCTTTCTGATCGAGGGGTAGAGGCACGTAAATCTGTACTGGTTGTGCCATGTCAAATTTACAATCTAAAATTGTTTCAAACTGTTTTACAGTCGTAATATGAAAGCCTTATTTAGCTGATCAGTTTGGAGTGGTTTATTGAATCACGAGTAAATCTAATGCCAGGTTCCCACTGGCACGATTCGTGCTACGATTGAAATCGTGATTATAATCGTATCAGGTCTTATTATATTACGATGTCAGTCGTAGCAATCGTGTTGATTGTATCGAAACCACAGGCACTTGAAGGGATTAAAATGAAACTTCTTACTACTGTTTGATTATGGGGGTTGGATGGCCGAATGGTTAGCATGTGCGCGCTGTATCATAAGGCATGTCATTGAGTCAACTGGCGCGGTACGTGACAAGGAGTAGGGTCGCCTGTCCAACCTCGTGGGTTTTCTCCGGGTCCTCCGGTTTCCTCCCACTGCTAAAGACCCCTACGCGCAAGCGAATTATTGAAATAAAATTAAACCATATGTCAGTCCCGAAATGGCCTAGTTTGTGTCGAGTGGACGTTAAACCCCATCTCTCTCTCTCTCTCTCTCTCTCTCTCTCTCTCTCTCAGCTCTGAATGCTAATTTTAGTTTTAGTAACACGTCTCGACCAATCAAAAATAAGGACTTTCCCAACGCGACGTCATTGACCTCATTTCGTGTCCAACGAAGTTGATAATCGCCAAGTGATAGCGCTTTGGGTTTGATTTGTAATTAATAACGCTGCAAAACGACCAATATAATTACATTGTAAGCTGCGTAATAATCAAATAAAGCCATTGGCAATTAAACCAACGGGAAGTGGTAAAACTAGTGAGTATTGTGAGATGATAGCAGACGAAATGTCATCAACAAGTCAAAACAATATGGCGGAAGATATAACTTGTTAATACTGTAATACATAGTCAAGCAGTAGCAAGAAGTTTTATTTTAAAACCTGTGATCGAAACGTATCCGAACGTATTTGCACGTACCAGATCGTCGACTCAATAGAGACTTTTGGCAAGCGGAATTTTCCCATCCGTGTCACGTATCTGTATCGTATACGTGATACGTTGCGTCAATGTAGTTTTAGAGTTTTGGCAAATTTTCGCGCCGCGTACGTGTGCGTCGATCAGCTGAACTTAGTTCTATTACAGCATGATGGCAGATATCTACCAAGATCACCATCAGTACAGTCAAGTGCCTATTAGAGCCGACAATTTCCCGGAGGAAATGAAGTCGCCCGACAGTCGCTGAGCTATTAAAAAAAAATAATGTCGAATCTTATTAAAAATCTTCGACTTCGACTCGACTGCAATTTTTGGTTCACTAATGTATCATTTCAGAAAGTTTATACCCCTTTACCACAGAATAAAATCATTTACAGAATTGCAATTTAGCACGTAGATCAACCATCATGGTTAACATCGCGTCAAATATACACCTTCGTGTTCTAGAATATACAAAGATTCATAAAAACGCTACGATACAACAATTCCGCGTCTAAAAGTAGTAAAAAAGACGGTAAAAGGACACGACAATGTAATACGGACCTTTTCCGTTTGAAAGCTGTTCGATACGTGCTGCCGTATCCGTGTGACGTATCTCGTATGAGAAATGCACACACATTGATGACGTCACACGCAAAATCCATACGGATACGCGATACGGGCCAGAAATTTACGCTTGCCAAAAGTCTCTAATATCTATCGTAATGTAACGCATCGCACGACAGTGTAACCTGACCTAGCATTAGTTACGGTCCATCGTACAGTTATAAATGATATTCTTTCCAAAATTAATATTAAATGTCCCGTCCATGCTCGCTCGACAACGCGTCACAGGCAGGGTTGGTTTATTTTATGCAAATCTACACTTGACCGCGTGCACTTTAAAACCTACAACTAGTTTTGAATGAAAATGAAGTATTATGCGTTGTTATATTCTACCTATAATCTTATAATCTAAAACAAAAACATGTTTCGCTCCGCTCCACTGCAATCGTTAAAAGAGCAAACTTTCACCTGCACATTTTCTGTCTTCTCCTGGTCCCTTAGGATGAGATTTTGGTCTTAGTTCAAATTTCCATGATACCATCGTTTTCTCATCATCTTGAGCTCCACATTTACAGTTAACCTTGAAAATAAGAAAAAAGGAGTAATGTGATAATGTATGCAAAAGTCCCCTTGTAAATACAAGTCAACTCACAACCAAGCGTCGTGAGAGAGAGAGAGAGATAGATAGTGTGTGTGTGTGTGTGTGTTTGTGTCTGTGGGTTGCCTACGGGGCGAAATTCTTAATGGATGGTCTTGAAACTTTGCATACTTATTCCTTATACCCTATGGATGACACCTATTGATTTTGGTGCATGCCCAACCTCCAGGGACAGAGCCACGACAATTTTTTTTGTATTTGTCACCTACAGCACGCATTTCTTAACGGATCATCTTGCTATTTTGGATACTTATTCCTTATACCCTAAGGATCACCCCTATTTTTTGGTGCATGCCCAACCCCCTGGGGCAGAACCATGTCCATTTTCTCTTTGCGTGTCTGTGTGTCGCCTACAGGCCATAATTCTTAATGGATCGTCTTGCAATCTGATTAAAACACAGATCCGATTTCGTTTCGCTTGTTATAGTTTAAAATTTCGTTTTATTTGTCTGTACTACACTAGGATCTGGAAGAGTTGTTAAATAACATGCGTTCTGGATGGCGGGAGGTATTAGCCGATGAAACCATCTGTTACGGCGACTTCTTGGCGTGCCATGCACGGAACTGTGGGTAAGCCACTAGAAACGTCAACGCGGATTGATTAATCAATGTCTGACGTCATAGGGTCAAAAGCCGCCCGTACGACCCCTGACGCGACCTTTCAGTAAAACTAGTCAGATCTTCATGTAGTGTAGGCCATCGAAAGTATAAAAAAACGAAACGAAATATAGATCTGTATTTTAATCAGATTTATCGTCTTCAAAACTTTTCATACTTAATCCTTATAACCTAAGGATGACCTCTATTATTTTTGGTGCGTTTCCCACCCCAGGGGCAGAGCCAGGCCCAAATTTGTGTGTGTCTTTGTGTCATCTATAGGCCACAATTCTTAACAGATCCTTTTGAAACTTTGCATACCTATTCCTTATACCCTAAGGATGATCCTTATTGTTTTTGGTATACTTATTCCTTTTACCCTAAGGTCGGCAACTATTGATTTGGGTCCATTGGGATCTTTCAGCATGGTTTACCCTTGTCATTGATTGTCTGGCAAGGAACAGTGTCAAGTTGTACGGATGGGACAGAACACCGGTATAAACGTTAGTGTGCATGTACATGAACCCTTGACAGTTGGATTTGTAATAAGAGTAGGCCGTAGCACCCATGTCCGGGCATAGACCCGTCTTTATTATCCCGAATGGAGCAGAAAAGTAGGACGTTAAACCCCGTTTCATTTCATTTCTATGAACATACACTGTATTTACTACACTTACCTCAGAGTAATCATAGTCGTGAAAATTGTTTGAGTTGAAGAAAGTTTGCGAAGCTATCGCATTCTTTGAACATTTTGTTAGTTCTGATACAGGTTTGCATAAACCATACCTGGAAAAAAGTAATGTATGAAAAACTAAAATCGGACATCTCTAAAAAAAAATGTACGTAATACTGTAAATCCTTGTTGAAATGCAGCGACAATGATCATAATCAGTTTCAAGATTAAGGATATTTCGTGTGACATTTCTAAAACAACTGCGAAATTTCAACAAGAGTTTAAAAAATGTGGACGATAGTCAATCGCCTAACTAACCATAAAAGAGTAATGGAGGGTGTGGGTGAGGGTGAAGAGGTGAGGGTCATATACTAATGAAATTACCCCAGTGGCATACCTCTAGAGGTCTGTACCCACCGGTGCACAATTCAATACACATCAAACATATACTGTAAAACAAAAAGCTGCATGTCCAAGGGTAAATATAATAGTGTGATCAGGCATCTTGTATCCTTCTAATATTTCAATGCAATAGATCTAAAGTGCTGCCCGCCCCACTCCGTCTTACGTTACTGTTTTCGCGGCACTACCAACAAACTTCACGTATACATAACTAAATTTAGGATCTTTACACCTTCCGGAAAACCAAAAATGATTGCTATTTACTCACAGCAAAAACAGCATTCAAAACATTTATTTATCAGTGTATTTATATTTTAAAGTTGTTAATGACTCTATTATCCATTAACTGCTATATTTCTGGACATAATGGGTTTTTAATATGGTGATTAAATTTTCTGACAAAGAACGGGCATATTACAAGTGACACGCATCAATAACATCCTTTAACAGCATAATATGTTGACTTCAGGTAAAAATCTAGTGTGTCATGTTTACAACATTGACCGGGAAATTAACTGTTCAATTATTAATTTGATTTCTGACTTCTAATAGAGGAAAGAAAGCATAAAAATATTACACTTTGATAGTTAATTACATTTTCATTACTAAAGAGTTGCTCCCATGACGTAGCAAGGTAGTGGTAATCAATAATCAATTTTCCAGATTTATATTTCTGCTAAAAGAAAAGTGACAACATTATACTTGTTAAATTCGGTACAAAATATTGATTGTTTTTTTGTTTTGTTTTTTACATAGCCACACAAAGGGTGGAAATACGCCCACATTAATTAATCATTATTTAGGAACAGAGGCGGTGTCACGGTACTAATATAATTCTGTTCATTGAGGACGTGTTTATGTTATCAATGATAGGTGTTATGTCATTAATATATCGCATGGTACTCTGTATTTAATTTTCAGGATCATGATTTCATGAGGTTTAACGTTCTTCGTTTCTGTACAAATCCGGTCTAATAGACAGTAAGACGTGTATTATGGCGTCGAGATGGTAGAATTAGATTATTATTAGATACATCTGTAATTCTCATTATTGAAGGTGTTTGACCTGGTTCTATATTCTATAATTGTATACTCGACAACGACTCATCAACACAATTAACCACGACACAAACACAACTTAAACAGCTTTTGCAAGTCACCCAGAGGTATCTCCAAACTCCATATTAACATACATGTTATCACTAATTTCAGCGCTTAGCTTTTGATTGAACGTAAATGCCGGAAATACCTCGGTACCATTAAGTTTAATTACAGCCTTTATGCGCCATGCGACGTCTATGTGCACATACCCCCCGCGGCTCATACGATACACGATACGCGTGACAGTTATTTGACCCCTTCTTGAGTAGAAAACAAGCGCCTAGTTGTATGGATAGCCATATATACTTGATATTCTGGGCAGTGGCGGCGCCAAGGGGGGGGGGGCAAGAGGGCATTTGCCCCTCCCCATAAATCTGGTCTGCCCTCTGATTGCCCCCCCCCCCAAAAAAAAATTTTTTAGAAAATAAAAAAAAGTATTTGTGATACCTACTACAGTGATTAAATCCCACATACCCACTCAGTCATAGACTTGCATGTTGTAGAGCCCGCTGAGTGATTTCCTGCTGTAAACATTAGTTGGCGATTTGGCGACGAACAGTATCTCGACGATCAGTATCTGAAATACTGCCAGGCTCACTCACTCCGTCCGTTTGACACTTTCCTCTCGGAAAAACTAGTGATTTGGCGACAGGCAGTATCTGGTAAGCTCTATTTATCTCGACTATCAGTGCCTGAAATACTGCCAGATGGCATTTCGGGCAGTCTACTTTCGAAATTTTCTGGGGCTTTTTTGAGGTTCGCAAGTCCATTCATTTGACACTTTCCTCTCTGCGGTCGGATAGACTAGTGATCGGACAACAGGTGGTATCAGATCAGCTCTATTTATCTCGATAATCGGTTCCAGAATACTGCCAGACCGCATTTCCGACAGTCTATTTTTCAAACTTTTCTTGGGGAGGTCCCCAATACCCCCCACAAGGGCTCGCTACTTTGACGCTCCCAAGAGGACTTCGTTGAGATTCGTTTGACACTTTGTTCTCTGGTCGGATAAACTAGTGATGAGGCGACGGACAGTATCTGATCAGATCTATTTATCTCGACCATCAGTGCCTGAAATACTGCCAGATGGCATTTCAGGCACTCTGTTTTTCAAAATTTTCTGGGGGAGGTCACCCATACCCCCCGTAAGCACTCCCTACTATGACGCTCGTGAGTGGGCTTCGTGGATGTTCGCAAGTCCGTTCGTTTGACACTGTCTTTACCTCAACGATCAGTGCCTGAAATACTGCCAGGCTGCATTTCCGACAGCCTGTTTTTAAAAAATTTCTGAGGGATAATATTAGATTGATTTTAGTGCTTAGCCAATCAAAACCGAAGTATCTACTAAAATTTGGATTTTATCTTTAGTTAAGATTTCGTGAAACAGGGCCCAGATATTCTTATACAACAGAATAAATTGCCGGATATATCACCCCATAATTCCTCAATACACCTAATACTACTTACTCTCACAGCACACCAGAGGTCACAGGCAGAATTAATGGGAGGGCCGAAAATAGTTTTATATCTAGTTCAATCGAATCACGACGTATTCAAAATAATTACCAGTTTATTTAATTCGAACGATTATATATACAACACACATTTCACGCGAAAATTAGACAATTTCTTTTGTGGTGTTGCTGTAAAAATTGGCTGGGGTTTTTGAATACATTGGGATTCAATGGAACTATAATAAAATTATTTACGGTGGTCCCCCCATTGTACCAATACAAATCCAGCAGAAAGGTTGAGTTGGTGTTAGATCAAAGCAGTGTTAACTGATGTTTATGACTCGGGTATATTGGGATAAACCAGTCTGAAGGTGATCCCACACTAGGGTTTTAATCATAATTCAGAATATAAAGTCTTATTCTAGATTTAGGCGTCACACTCAATTCGCTAAAATCCGATCTTAATCTGAAATAACGAGTCCGTATATTTTTCCGAATTCAATCTGGAACAACTATTACGAATCGGGTTATTCGCAGTCAAAATTTGAGTGTGGTGTGTTTGATTCGGATCAACGGGTTTACCGGAACCGAATAACTTTGCGCGCATGTTCACTTCTACTTCCGTTTTGTCGCTTGGAGAGAAACGTGTGTATTCTCCGAGCCAATATTCTCCAAATAAATAAAAATAAATATTGCAAATACAAATCAGATCAGGTATAGCGTACATAGCCGTAGCCCTACCTCAATGAACCATATACTGCGGTAACATAACCAGTTAAAAATCCAAATACAAAGATATGGTGTGTTCAGATCACGAATGATCATTTAAGACCTAGACCCTAGGGGCAGGGCAAGCCAGCTCCAGACGGCTTGACTGTGGTAGAGTTCTAGAATGTAATGTATGTAGTTGGATGAAAATGAAAACTTTGCATTATGCATTTTTTGTGCTAAAAGGATTTTAATCATGAAATGTACCTTCGCTAGTCCAGAGTCGATAGTGAAGTGCATGTACATACGTGTTGATGCCTAGGAAAAGCGACCAGAAGAGTAATCATCCTCGTTCAACTTTGATTCTGGTTCAGACGAAATCGTGCCCGACGCTCAATGGCAAGATACCGAAGATACAAGACCTGGCGTCACTGATGTAGCCTTGATCGCCTCAAAGAAATTAAACATTAGCAACATAAGATCACGATTACGAATGACGGGCGCATACATCTTTGATTTGAATGACCTTTTTTTCTGCTGATTATGCGCATTCACACACCCGTAGCCAGCTGAAAAAAATGATTCCCCCACCCCCACCGTCGAAGAAAAAAGTTGCCGACGACAGTTCTAAAATACCTACTGTTTTAAATAAACAGTTAGGGGTCATCCTGTGGCGTATTGATTTGGGGACGTGGCACCTAGCACCCAGTCTCACCCAGGGACAGGTGTCAGTTGGGGCCTCTTCTAAATTGTTTTTGAAATTTACCATTTTAGGTGATGTAAAAAAAATGCTACTACAGGGAACAGGCCTTCAGCCACACAGTCCATCCGTACCCAGCTCTGAGCTTCTCGTACCTAACGCGTATAGATTGTCCGACCTGGGGATCAATGACGCATCGCCAATGAAACGGTCTGTTGCAGCGAGTTCTCGGCGATGCACGGAACTGTGGGTATCCTACTGATTGGTTAATCAAATGTCTGAAGTCATAGGTCAAAAGCCGCTCGAATAACTCATACTACAATTGGTCAGATCTTCATGTAGTAGAGGCCATCGAAAGTATAAAAAACGAAAAGAAATACAGATCTATATTTTAATCAGATTGTGAAGCGCCGTACGAAATTTCTGGACCTGGAACTTTTTTGACCTTGTTTGGTGGGCAGCACACCTTAAGCTTATATATGGCGATACTGTTTGAGTTATATACAACTTTGTAGGGCTTTATGAAAGTTGTTTCTTTATTATAAAAAAAACAACATAATAAAGATGATATATAAATTACATATTATTGGTTATGTTCTGATATCTATCTGTCCTATACTTTGTACTGACTTGCCCAATGGCATTACAATGGCCCACGACACTTGTCAGTATGATTATTGATCAGTGTTCGTTGGAGAACTATTTTCTGGGCTGGAAAACGCGTTTGCGGCCGTCCAATTTTCAAAAT